TTAACACCTTTTTATTTTTGAAAAACAAACAGAAGTCAATATTTTTTGTTGGACGGTCAATGCCCTTAATTAACACATGTGGTGTACACATGACTCTCCGTTGACCGGCCACTTTCCCCTTAAACCTCGATGGAAAATTGAAAGAAAACAAAATTATACTCTTTAGTGTCAAAATAAAACATTTTAACTTTATGGTTTTTAATGAATGTCGCGGACATTTTTTTAAGACTTTCGAAGTAATTAATTCTTTTTATTTTGAAGAATCTATCCCTAATGCACACCTTTTCTTAATTTTGAGTTGTGAAACCAGATGCTTTTTACATGACAGATGCTAAAGAAAATTTAATGAAAGTTAATGATTGCAATGATCAACTCTTGCTATGACAATCCATTGCATGGAACACTTCTAGTAAATTTCGCAAAAGCCGTTCCGTTCTCTTGAAATGATTAACTCTTGCTACGACAATTTCATTCCATCGAACACTTCTTGTAAATTTCGCAAAAACCGTTCTCTTGAAATAATGTTGTAATTCACTACCAAAATTTAAATGACGCTCTAATTGACTACCTAAAATTGACTACCCAAAATTTAAAAAGACAAGTTCTCTTGAAACTCGAAAATAAAGATGAGCATACTAGAAATTATGCAGACATACATAGCATAATCTTAATAGCGCAAAAATGAACAACTAGTGCTTCCATGACAATTAGAATACATTGATATCAATGCCAGAAAAAGTTCATGCATTACCAGCCTTACAAATTCATTCTGGATGTAAGAATTTTGTAATTAGGTAAATGACATTTCATACACAAAGAGAGTACTTTTGGATATACAGAATAATTTCATTTTAACTCTTTCTTCATCACGGAACCATAATCAATCTTAATCCCCTTTGCACAAAGGACACATAGATCCGGAAGACAGAATATCTATTTTTTTCCTCTTCTTCTTCTTCTTCTTCATCATCATCATCATCATTAACAGAGACATTTTCAGCAAGTTCTTAAGCTGGCCGCATTCATGATCCTCTATACCATTTAAATACATCCTTTCGATATATACCTGCCTCAAGCTTTTCTTTGCCAAAAGAATTCCGGCAAGACAATTTACATACCTAGCAGAATTAAGGTTTCTAAATTCCACATATTGGCAATGGTTTTCGAAGTTCTGTAGCTGCCCCCCATTTCTAGGTATCTCAAATGAACCATGAAAGTTACTTCTAGAGGGAAATGACCATATTTTTGTTTCTTTTTTTTTTAAAAAAAAAAAAAGAGAAAGAGAAACGGATGGAACTATAAATTGTGAGATACACTTAGAGGGTATACCTCTAATATATTTAGAATAGGGAAATTGTATTTTATTCATAATCTGTTGTGCACAATATACAGACTATATATAGACAATAACAAACCCTAAACTAGAACATAATAGGAAATATACTAAATATTACAATACGCCCCCGCAAACTTACGGCGGAGAAGAGAGAAGCCGAAGTTTGTCCCGAAATCGAAAGAATAATTCTTTGGACAAGGGTTTTGTCAGAATATCAGCAAGCTGATCAGCAGCAGAGATAGAATTGACCGAAACAAACTTACGCCGAACATGATCTCGAACAAAGTGAAAATCAACCTCAACATGTCTTGTACGAGCATGAAACACAGGATTGACAGCAAGGAAAACTGCACTACTGTTGTCACACCAAATAGAGGGGAGGGCGATTTAAAGAAACGCCTAACTCGGACAACAGATGACACACCCAATGCAGTTCAACACAGACATTAGCAACCGCACGAAACTCAGCCTCAGTAGACAAGCGAACCACAGTGGGCTGCTTCCTAGATGTCCAGGCAATGAGATTAGGTCCCAAATAAATGAGAAAACCAGTAGTAGAACGATGATCATCCGGACAACCAGCCCAGTCAGCATCACTAAACGCAGTAAGAGTACCCAAATCTGTAGGATGCAGAACTAAACAGTAATCAACGGTACCACGAAGATAGCGAAGAACCCGTTTGAGAGCCTGAAAATGAGAAGTGCGAGGCTGATGCATGAACTGACAAAGCTTATTAACCGCAAAGGAGATATCTGGACGAGTAAGAGTCGTATACTGCAGACTGCCACACAGTAGCTGAGTATTCCCCAGCTACTTCATATAATCTCTCCTTCTGCCAGCATCTATTCGAATTATACCTTCTGCAATCCATAAACTAATGAGCTTCCGAGTTTTGGCAACGGTATCCTCTGGAAATGCTCCGAAATATAGAGGAAACACGGTTTCAAATTATTTGGCAAATGCGCGTGGCTAAGCTCAAACACATCCATGCACTTTACAAACAACCGCTTGTGAACCTGTACGAGATTCAATCTGTTTCCGTATCGTATCGTTGGAAATGAGCTTGGTTTGAATGAGAACTTGGTTTCTCATTGTGTTGGAAAAAAAATGAGTTCAAGCTATTGTGCAAATGGGGGTCAAATCCGAGGCCAAAATAGTTTGATTCGTGTATGTGCACGACCTGCGGACACGAATACCGGACCGAAACTTCTCGGGCCTGATCAACCTGAATTTTGCTTCTATCCGGATTACTTTTTCCAATAAATTTATTGGAGAATTGTTAGCATCAATTAAATTTTAGTTTGAGCGAATTTAATGTGACATTTAACGTGGATTAAATGGGATGCTAAGAAGCTGAAATGTTTATGAATGGTTTGTGGAATTAATTTTCATTAAGGTCATGGTTAAATGTATTTGAATGGCCACAAGAAACCCGGTATGAGTTAATAGACTTAATAGGCAGATTAAAGTGATGGCTAAAACCGTTTCAGTATTTTGCATTAAACATGAAATGACTCTTGACGGTTTTCTTGTTTCAACTAAACCATTTCAAAGGTTTTTCTCTCCAGCTTACAAGTGTAACTCATTTTCAGTAATGGGTATCCCTTCTTCATAATTCCAACTCCTTTTTTAAAGTTTTCTATCTTTCTTCATTTTCAATGTTCACCATTTTTTCTAAGTTCCAATTCGATCGTAGGATTGTTTAGTGCAAAGTAATCCCTACAGTCTACGTTGTATCCTGGAAAACAGTAGTTCCAATTTCTCTAGCACACCTTGTGAGGGGGCTAAACTGTTTTAAGGACATCGTGGTTATCACGTGCCTCAGATTTCTCATTTTCTTAACAACCTTTTCTTACTAATATACTCTAGCCCATTTTGTTCTTTAACAATCTTAAAACAATTTATATTCCTTACTATTTTGTGTATTTGTGATGGCGACTGATGCCCCTAAGGTTGATGCTGTTATTGCTGTTGCCACTCCCACTACCGTTGTACCCGGGGTGACAACCGTTACTGTTGTTTCGGGGGTTGCTGCTCCTGCTGCTATACCCACTGTTGTTCTTGAAGTTGTTGAAAGTCTTTCCAAACTGTTGATGTTTTCCTCCTCTTGTTTGTTTGGAATTTCTCATTCTCTGGAATAATTTCTTGTACTTCAACACTATCTGCTCCACCAGTTGCTGCACCAGTTGCATCGTCAGCTACATCATCATTTGCCTCATTTGTCTCCATCATTTAGGAATTACAGTAGAATAGAATTATTTTCAGAGCATATTATGGTTCAATTTTCTACTTCTCTAAAGAAAGAATAAGTAAAATTAATTAACCCATATCAAAACAATAGTATCAAAACTGAAGTAATGACAAATTTATGAAAACATTGGCTTTCTGTAAGTACATGATAAGCAAAAATCAATTAAGGGAAAGAACCCTCAAAAAAGGTTAAAGAATAAGCAAAGCAACGACCATATATCCTTGTAAGATTTCACAAAAATGCATACTTTTTATGTGGTAATTTTTAAACCATGTGAATGGTTCTAATATCTTAACAAAAAGGCACACGTAAATGGCTTCAAAGTTAGATATTATTAAACTAAATATAATAAGCATATCTCTTTTCAACTCTCAAACTATCTTCAAAGAAAACTAGATAAATAAACTCTCAAAACCTTTCTCCCTCAATTTCGGAGAACCAAAACCAGCCCCATGTCCCTTTTCATCCACTTTAGTTTTTTCAACAAACTCAAACCTCAATAAAGCACACTTTTTTGTGAGGAAAGTAGTGGTAGAGAAAATGAGAATCTATCTATTAAAACAACAAAGGAGGTAATGGAATCAACTATCCATTTGCCAAAACTTTCCAGCGAAACGTATTTGAATTTAATAAATCTAGATTAGCAAATTCATAATTAATTGAAAAAAGGCCACTTCATAATTTATGGAATGTAATCCCATACAAAATGAAAAAAAAGGGAAAGAACCCACCAATATAATCAAGATTATAGAAAAAGAGAGAACCCGAGGTGTATCAAAAAGAGACACATTTGAGCTGAAAAAGGAAGAACAAAATACACCGCCTAGAGAGAACAAAGTGACTAGGGTTTTTCAACTTAGATCTTAGAGCTACTAATATGGCTTGAAATTCGATGATGGTAGTATGAGATGGATGTTATTCAAAGATTAGAAAAGAAATTAAGATCATTTTGGTGAGAATTTGAGAGTTGGATTTTCGACCGCTAAGGAGAAAAAAGAAGACGGGAGAAGATAAAAATTTGTGAATTTTGGAAGGATAAGGCTTCCAAATTTCATCGAGTGGTAATAAAAATTTTGGTAAAAAAAATACTAATATCAAATACAATAACTGATATATAGTATGTTAATAAAAAATATATTAATAAAAGAATATACATATATATATATATATATACTAAAGCTCGTTAAGCACGACGAGCTACCGAGCGGTCATCGTCATAGCTCAAACTCGATTCGATTAATTATCGAGCTCAGCTCGAATTCGGCTCGAATTCGGTCAATTCGAATTCGAATCGAGGTTTGACCGAGCCAGCTTGCGAGCTGCTCGGTTCGTTTACGCCCCTACTTCTGACCGTTTGCGTTTTCAATATAAGGGCTGTTTAAAAAAAAAAAAATGTAATTATGGAACTTTAGTTAGGGGTATAAGAACACGTTGGAACCTTCTTTGAAAGGCCAAGAAGACTATTGCTATTCACTAGGCATTTACCATTTATAGTTTTATACCCGAGAAACATTGGAGTGACTTACAATTTCATCTCACGGATTTGGCAACAAGGCTGAAAGGCTCAAACCCCGTTGGCCGGAGGAATGAGCAAAAAGGTGACAGAGATTGATCCGGAGGAATTCGCCAAGAAGATTGATTGGGGCGACGAGGATGGCGATGTGGGGCGACCCGGAACTCCCAAATGGGCCTCCCATCATTGGCTTTCATTTTCGGAGAAATCAAGGTTATGGTAGCTGTTAATCATTCAGAACCCGGTTCTTTTCCCAACTTATTTCTGGAGTACTTTGATGTTCTGAATGATCTTCAAAAGAGGTGCTCTCCAATGGAAATCTCTTATTCAGACCAAAATTTATGCTGCCAAGGCAGCAGAGTTCATGGCGGGCACTCTTTCTTGTCGCCGTCAACTGGGCCCTCTTGTCAGATTGGTAGCCGGGTTTGAGCTGATTTCATTTTCAAATGTGAGGCTGGAGAAGGAGTTTAACTTTTGCTTCCTTTCTGCCCCTAATGTCGTAGGACAAGAGGTGAGTTTTATCCTTAAACATTTCGCTCAAATCCCAATTTTCTACATGAATTTCGGATTTTAAATTTGTTTCTGGAAATCTATAGGTTCAGATTTTTTTGAATTCTCGGGATAGAATTAAGTGAGTCTTCCATTTCCTATGCATTTCTAACCAAGTTGTTTAATTTGCTGTTACACATGAATGATTTGCAGCTTTTCTGAGTGCCCTATTGTTAGAAATAGACCAGATTCTATATCGCTTTTGGCTTCACCTTGATTAAACATCCTCAGCTTTTATCACCAGCTGCATCAGCATTGCCAATTTACAAAGACAAAGATTTTATTCTATTTTTTCTTATTTTTGTGGTTGACTACAGCAACTTTAGATATGGTGTTAATTACTTTGTCTAGTATGGCTGACATCCCTCATTTCATTATCATTAGATTCAGTTGCTCTTTCCTTTGTTGCATACAATGCAGTAACTCTTTGCCCTTTCCTAAGTTTGTAACTTTATCTTCCCATTTAACTTTTTTCCGTTTCTTAGAACTCGCTGTATATATGTTGTGTTCTAATTATTTTCGCGACATAATATAATCTCCATTCATTCGATAATGTCTGCTTTATGAAGTTGGTTGATGGCTTTTTTGGAATATGTTTATTTATGCAAGGTGACATGAAGCTTTTAACTGTTTGCATCATCTCATCAGAACAATGAACAAAAAACCAGCTAGACACTGTTGTGATAATGACCAACGCCAGAAGGATATGGTGATACTACTAGTGTTTTAATCAATTTGTTTGCATGCATTTTGCATGATATCCCATTTCTAATTAGCTATACCAGAGAAATGGAGCTTTGAGTTGCTTGGTTAGTTGAGACTGGATTTTAGTCATAATTATAGATGGCTGTTTTCATGGGAAGCAAGAGTTTTGGCTAATTTGCATCCACTAAATTTTATAATGTTGGCACGGATATATTTTCAGATACCACCATGGTATCAAATATTGGCTTAGGATATAATTGCCTGACCTCTTGTTTGTTAGTTTGTAAGCTAATGAGAATAGATAGACTCAAGCAAGAGAAGCACATAGTTTTGCTTTTCGAACACTCATGTACTGGAGATCTATTATCTGATTAGTGAAATCACTTTTGGTTAAAAAAAAAAAGACATCCTCTATATATGCTTACCGGGGATATGTTTTTAATTCATGGTTGTAACCTCTGTTTACGGCGTCTTCAGATTGATTTAAAAAAACAAACTTCTTTTTATTGTTGTGACATTGGATATGTCCTTGTGTGAGCTTACTTTAGGAAGAGAAAATAGAGGCATGAAATGTATTGGTCATCAATATGTAGTAAAGTGATGCATGTGTTGGAAGGAAAGCCACATGTAAAAAAACTCATCTAGGGAAGAGTACCATGTAAATTTGAAAGAAAGAGATCTCCGAGGAAAAACCATTCTACTGAATGGACTTCCATTACAGCTAGAAGATACAGGATTCATCTGAGATCTTTACCCGGCATTTGTTAGGAATCTTGTCCTATGTGCATTGACCTCTCGTCTATCAAATTCACAGATGGAACGAATTTTAATTCTCTGGGATGTTAGCTGAAACTTGCTTTCCCCAAAATACGTCTCATAATTTGCAGGTGCAGGTTTGCCATATTTTTCTGCTCGCCAAATCATTTCTTGAGATGTATTTATAATAGTGGAGATCTTGTACTAATGCCATGATATAGCAATAACTGTATGATGAGGCCAACAAAGAAATATAGTGATGTCTATTTATGGAAAATGTTTATTTTGAGAAAGTCAAAACTCCTTTTGTGGGGGTCCCTTCTGTTATCTGATTTCTGATGAAAGATTGAGATCTAATTTTCATGATGCACTTTTTTCTTTCTTTTTTGTTTTCTGCCTTCCTCTGTTTCACTCCAAAGTGAAAATAGTGATCCATGCAGTGATTGATTTTGCAGTTTCCATAATGATGAACCATGTGTGTGCAGTCTCCATTAGTGTCACGTGAAAACAAGAGGAGAAACAAGTCGAGTACAAATAGGTTGAAAAATTGCTTTTACCTCTTTTTTATGTGAAACATGTTCATGTGTTTGAGCTTGCCTTTTATTTTGCTGCTAAAGCCCATATTCAGACCCCTTTGCCTTAAGTCTTGAATTGCCCCCTCTTGAGCCACAATCTCTCATCCAAGGTGGTGCCGCCACAGGCTGCTATCAAACATGACAGATGATGATGCATCACTGCCTATTCTTGTATGTGTGAGGAAGCCTCCAAAGGTGAATTCGATGGGATGCTTGTCCTCCGATGCCGAGCTCAGGGATCCTTTTGTATATTCCTTGCCTATATTTGAATTGCAGTTAGTCATCATCTTTATTCTCACCCGTCTATTTCATTTTCCTCTAAAGCGACTTGGATTTCCAAAGATAGTCTCTGAAATATCTGTAAGTACATGATGACATCAAACCTTTCTCTTGCATGCTTTGTTTGTTCTTTGTCTTGAAGTGACTTCTGTACAAATTTCAAGTTTGTGTATTTCCTGGATGGGGATCATGTAGTCCATAATCAATCAATGTTTTTTATTTTATTTTGTTATTCCTGTCATTTATAGTTCTCTTGAGTTCTTTTGCAATTCATGCATTCTGCATCATTGTACAGTTACTGCAAAAGCCTTTTACATAAGAAACGGCACATAATATATGCGTTGATATTCTTTCTGAAAAGTGGAATAAACTTAAGAACCTGTAGAATGATATTTATGTTTCTTGTGGTGTTTAGGCTGGTCTAATACTTGGATCAACAGCGCTGGGGAGAAGAGAGGGTTATCAGAAGTTTTTGTTTCCCGCTGCAACTCAAGACACCCTAGGTGCATTCTGTGCTTTTGGATACTTGCTTTTCGAATTCCTGAGTGGAGTCAAAATGAACACTGGAATGATGAGAAAAACAGGATCGAAAGCGCTGGCAATTGGGATTATAAATCTAGTAGTTCCCTTAGCAGTTGGTTGGTTTACTCTGAAATCATTGTCAATTTATCCACCGAAGAAGGGGAGTGATGTCACACCAAGTCTGCAGAATAATGTCAGCGTTTTAAAAGCCAGCTCTATGACTGCATTCCCAGTTGTTGCTCTCCTCCTCAAAGACCTCAAAATCCTCAACTCAGAGCTTGGTCGATTAGCTTTGTCGTGTGCTCTAATAACACACATGCTTCAACTTATTTATAACTCAACCAGCTTATTACATCGGATATATCTCAGTGATCATGGCCGTGCAGTTTCTGATGTAATGGTTTGTATCAGTTTCATCCTCCTTGTGATTTTCCTACTCCGGCCAGCCTTCATTTGGGTGGTAAAACAGACGCCGGAGGGGAGGCCAGTCAAGGACTTGTACTTATTCTTGACTATTCTTCTTGCCCTTGTTTCTGCGGTGATCTCTTATTGGTTTGAGCTAGCAGTGCTATTCGGACCCTTTATTATAGGATTGGCCGTACCTGAAGGGCCGCCGTTGGGGTCTGCTTTGGTTGACAAGCTGGATGCACTCTCTTCTGGTGTGATTTTGCCTACATTCATCTCTCTGGTAGCCCTCAGGGCAGATCTATCACAGCTCAGCTACTATGTCCCTCATATTGCCCTCATTGTGGCCACGTTCTCATCAAAAGTAATATCATGTTGCTTTGTTGGATTGTACTGCAAAATGCCCTTAAATGATGCAGTAGCACTAGGTCTCATCCTGAGTATAAAAGGAGTGGTGGATTTGGGAGCCTACAGCTTTCTTAGAGATGCAAATGTAAGTCACTTTCTACTGCACATTAAGAAAACTCAGTCCTCTTTATCAGATTCGCACATTCACATAATTTACTCCTGACTTCTCTTGTACATTATGTCCCACAGATGATCGATCAGTCAACCTTCACTTTGTTAGTGGTTTACACCGCAATTGTTGCCACTTTGGTGCCTTCTATGGTTCAGTTGCTCTATGATCCTAACAGGAAATATGCAGGATACCAGAAAAGGAGCATAATGCATTCGAAGATTGGTGGCAAGTTACCGGTACTTGCATGCATCCATTCCTCCGACAATATTACAGCCATCATTGGGCTACTTGATGCCTACACTCCCTCTTTAGAGAATCCCATAACTGTCAATGCCCTGCACTTGATTGAACTGCGCGGTCGTGCTTCACCAATCTTCATATCCCATCAACTTCAGAAGAAACCACATTCCAGAGATGATTCCTACTCGGAGAATGTCATCTTTGCTTTTAAGCAATTTGAAAGGAACAACAGGGGGTCTGTATCTCTCCAAGTCTTCACAGCCATTTCTCCGCGGAAGCTAATGCATGAGGATATATCCACCCTCGCTCTTAACGTTCTTGCCTCCATAATTGTACTACCATTCCACCGAAGATGGGCTATTGATCGATCAGTTGAATCTGAAGATATCAGTTTGAGGATGTTGAATCGTAGTGTTCTGGAGAGGGCTCCTTGTTCAGTTGGAATCCTGGTTGACAGAGGTCATGTTGGACCTTCTACCTCAATGATGTCATCAGGGAAAAAATACTCCATATCTGCCATCTTTCTTGGTGGAAATGATTGTCAAGAAGTGCTAGCACTTGCAAAGCGCATGACCAAACACAGGAATATAAGCCTAACAGTTATGAGATTTATATCTACTAAGACTAAACGCCAAAATTTTGAGGCTGAAATGGAGGACATCAAGGCATTGCATGATTTCAAGCAAAGCAGGTGGATTGGACAAGGAAATAATGTCGCTTACATGGAAAGAGTGTTGAAAGATTCTTCAGAATTCGCGTGGACACTCCGATCCTTGGCCGATGAATATGACCTTATTCTAGTAGGAAGATGTTACAAAGTGAAGTCATCATTAACCTCAGGTTTTGAGGAATGGTGTGATGTTCCGGAGTTAGGTGCCATTGGTGAGTTCTTGGCCTCGAGAGATCTTCAATGTCGAGCTTCTGTGTTTATTGTACAACAGCAAAAAATTACTCATTAGCAGATCCCCTCACCCCCCGTTATGGGGTTATTTTTGTTCATTTCTCTTTTCATGTATCATATGTTTTGGATGTGGAAACAAAATAAAGTGTTCACTAAAGACGAAACTAATTCAAGGGCTCCACAATCCACCAGTTAAGAAGAGGCTTAATCAATTGGTTTGAAAATTGTATAAGTAAATGGTGATCCTCTATGTTATGATCTGAATGAGGCTTCTAACCAACCCATTCCATTCAACCAGTTGCTTGAATGGGTAATTAGTTTGGGGCATTACTCAGTTACCATTTCACTTTACAAAAATATGTGCATCCGGCGCATCCAAGTTACCGACTTCACTATCAATATGATCATTAGTGTTTAACCCTTGGTACTCTAGAAGACCTTGTTTCCCGTGTTTCAATGCTAGACAATAAAACTTTCGCTAGATGTCGCAAGGACTTGATCACCCTTTTTGGCATCAATATTCATTAGCAGCTGTCACGGAGTTATAAAGTAGTAACAAATTAACAAGCAAGTTTACTGATATTTTTGGACTTGGACAATATCGTTGAGGGAATTTCCTATTTTTGCTTTATCGTTGAGGCAAGTTTAATATACCCGTTGTACTTTATTGTAATTGTCAAGAGACATTGTCTTGTTTTAAGTTTGGAAATAGTTGCTTGATGAAAACGTGATGATGATAGTCTATGTTTTGTGTGTTTGATTTTTTTTTTTTTATATATAATTTATGTTTGTTTTTTAAGTTTGAGTTCATGCGTCTAGTCCATTGAAGAGGTTAAGTTTTTTAACTTGACTTTCATGGAGTCTTTTGGTTCCTTGAAGGACTAGTTTTCTCTTAATTTCTCGATTGACTTTGTGTTAGACGACGTGTGATATTGAGGCAAGTCTGATTCTTTTTTCTTTCTACTATTTCTGTGTGATTGAAATTTATTTCTTCCCTGTGTTATAATTTGTGTCCATTGAGGACAGTGTCCATTTCAAGTTTGGGCAAGAGATTTTTTGAGAAATAGTGCATGTCCAATAGTAAGTGATCTGAGCTTTTACCTCAAATTGGCCTAGTTTTATTTTATTTTATTTTATTTTTTTTGTGAAAATTCTTTCATGTCATGCTTTTGAAATTAGACTGAATACAAGAGATTCCTCTATACCGAGTTCCAAATAATGCTTTTTGTGATCAATTTAATGTTGCCATGAGTTAAATTACACATGAGCCATATTTTCTATGTGAGAGTCTGAGCCTAAAAGAGCATGTCATCATGTTAATGCTCACTTTGCTTTGTGGTGTGATTTATGAGCATGCATGAGTAAGAAAGTTTCAGAATTCGTCTAGATCATGCATGTTGTGGCCACATTGATTGAATGTCTTGAGATGAAAAAGGCACCTAGTATCCTTATTTTAGCTTATTTTTCTTTTCCTACCCATATGAAAAGTTTCTTTTAGGATTACCCACTCAGAGCATGAGCTTTGGACAACCTTCCATTTTACATTTTCACTCATTTTACCTCTTAAACACAAAACTCAATGGAAAAGAATACATTATCCAAACAACTTTCTGATTTATATTTTAAATTCCAACTTGAAACACTTTTTGTTAGTATAATGACCATTTTAGAACTACAAATAGTTCAGTGACAAATTTGGCAATATTTCGTTGTTGAGTGATTGTTTTTGGAAAAGTTCTTTTTTGCAGTGACTATAATTTACAGTATTTAATTGTTTAGTGATGACTTGTACTTGATATTTCAAAATATAGTTCAAAATACTTTTTTTCAAAACCAACATCCAAATAATATTTTTATTTTTCATTTAGTTGACGTCCAAACAATTACTTTACCTTTTTATTGGTTTAAGCCACATTATAAGCCAATAAACCTTTCATCTGTGTGAGCCTTCATTCATTTAAAACCAGAAGGAATATCTGTTTGATTGCATAAGGGGTTGTGCAGTATCTTAATAGCAATGATTGGATCTTAAATTTCTCATCTTTGATACCCGGTGATGCGGTTATATATGGAATTTTCTCATGGGTGTTTGTTCAATTAGTGATGGAGCTAGTTTTTGGTTTATACGACTCGTGTATTCAGTTTGTATCTGTTGAAAAAGAAAAAAAGCAGGAAAAAAAATTAAAATAATAAACAGAAAAATTAAAAGAAAAAAAGTTACATTAAGTTTGTTTATTGGGGTTCTTGAATGATATCACTTCAAGAGGGGATAAAAGGACAATTTGATGCCCAGTTTTGTTTCTGTCCATCTCTTGTCCTTATAAATTATATATTGAGAAATTCAGAGGTTGCAGATGATGGTCTTCGAGAATTTAATTTATAGTGAATTGACCCTTGAGTTTTGTTTAAAGTTTTTTATTTATAGAGAATTCGAGGTTGCATATTCTTTCCTTTAAGCATGTACATACAAATCCTTCCATTCCTTGTCCTAAGCCACACTACAACCTTTTAAAGACCTTTGATGAAGCATTTCATTCATAATTAGTGTATTAGACATGATATCGTTACGAACCTATTGTTGACATTTTACTTTTTGCAATGATTTTAGAGTTTTGATTGTTAAACACTTACCCCTTATTATGAGTGTGTTGAGTGAGTCTTTTATGAGAAGGTGACGATTCTCTTGGCAACTGAGTTTGGAAAAATTACTACATTGTGATGTTTATACGTGGATGTTGATAGAATATGAAAATAATCGAAACCCTAATTAGGATTTTCTATGTAGACGGCTAGGGTTGTTACACTATTGTACTATAAATACCACAATTTATCATGTGAATAACATATACAATAATTCTTTCATGGTATCAGAGCATTAAATTCGTCATTCATAGTGACACGCCATTCAGGGTATTTATTTGCTTCAGTAAAGGATTTTGGTTCAGTAGGGAGTGAAGAGGATGTAGCAGTGGTAGTAAGAGAGAGTATCTTTTTAGGTTTACGAGTACCATCACGAGTTCTAGTGACCATATGATGAATAGGGGGATTCGAAATAGGAGGATCCGAAGTATGTGACAATGAAATGGAAGGTGTGGGTGCAGATACTAAAGAAACGGATGACACATGTTTCTGTGAAGGAGAAGCAACCAATGGAGAGGATTTGGATGAAGGGAGGGATCGTGAAATAAGGAACGAGGGATATTTAAAAGGCGATTGGGGAGGATTGTTTTGGGGAACCGAAGAGAGTTGAGGAAATGGAAAAGAGGTTTCATAAAAAACAACATGACGGGAAGTATAGACTTTCTTAGAAGTGGGATCAAAACAACGATAGCCCTTATAAGATTCAGGATAACCAAGAAAGACACATGGAGCGGAGCGAGAATGGAGCTTATAAGAAGCTAAATGAGAAAGATTGGGAAAATAGGAACACCCAAAAACCCTTAAGGAACCATAGTTAGGGGGATGACCAAAAAGAATAGAGAAAGGAATGGCCCCATTTTTTTAGTAGGTAAACGATTTAACAGATAGACACTAGTATGTAAAGCCTCTACCCAGAATGCATGTGGTAAGTGAGCTTGATGCAGAAGCGTGCGGATCATATTGATTAGTGTTTTATTCATGCCCTCAGCCTCCGTTTTGTTGAGGAGTGTACGGACAAGAGATACGCATTGTGATCCCCTTAGATTTAAGAAAAGATTGAAGATAATGAGAATAAACATATTCAGCTGCACCGTCAGATTGAAGAGTTTGATGGAAGCATTAAATTGAGTTTAAACAAGAGTATAAAAGTCAACAAACTTTTGAAGAACCTCGGATTTATTTTTAAGAGGATACACCCATAAATAATGAGTGAAATCATCAAGAAAGAGTACAAAATACTTGAAACCACTAAAGGAATGACACGGAGAGGTCCAAACATCTGTATGTATAATATCAAAAGCACTAAAAGTAACCGAAGAAGAAGGCATAAAAAGGAGCTTATCATGCTTCCCAATTTGACAAGCCTGACAAAGACTAAGTTTATTTGAAGAGATCACAAAACCAGGAAGACTTCGACTGGACACTAAACTGGACAAAACGGAGGCATTCGGGTGACCAAGGCGTTGATGCCATAATTGAGAAGAGACGGAAGCAGCAAACACCGGACAAGACGGAGAAGACGGTGCAAGGGATGGATGGAGCAGTGATGGCAGAAATATATAAAGGGAACCAGTACTATTGCAATGTAGACGAGGGGTGCTCGTCCAAAGATCCTTCACAGAAAAACCAAAAAAGTCAAACTCAACATAGCATTGATTTTCAGTGGAAAATTGACGCACAGAGATTAGATTTTTTGTAAGCGAAGGAACATGGTAAACATTAGGGAAACGAAACTGAGAACAAGAGAGTTGATCAACGGATTGAATAGGTAAAGAATGACCGTTATCAATAATGACTTGAGTAGAACCAGTATAAGGTTTTGAATTAGTGAGGGTACCTTGAGAAGGAGTCATAGTGTTACCACAATCAGTGTCCATATACCAGGAGGAATCAGCAGATGGAGGAATAGAAGCCCGATTATTGTGACCCACAAAGTAAGCGGGCTGTTGAAATTGTCTCGATTGTCTTCATGATGCTATATCTCAATTGTCTTCATGCTTGAAACCTTGGCATGACTAGCTTATACTTGTTTTGAAAGTTGTTATGAATGGTCAAGTTTGTTGAGGTTGATAATTTAGAATTGGTTTGCTTGAGAACAAGCATAATCTCAAGTTTTAGAGTATTTGATATGCGTATAATCTATCCAATTATTATACATTTTTATGTGAGATTTTGAATGTATCTTGAGCATATATATTCCACTCATTTGGTTTTATTCCAGTTTGTGGGACCGTTGCTTCAAGGATGAAAATGCAAATGCTATTAATTTTCTATGAATTTTTGGATGCAATTGCAAGGAAGTGTAGCTCAAAAGGAGAAGAAAGATTGTGCTTGCGTGTGTTACGAAATGGGTGTTGTAAAATTATTTTCATTCTGTTGGGCCAGAATTATTATTTCTTTCAAGCTCGAGGCCCAATGTAGAGGAAATGGTATTAAAGCTTTTGTTGCGTCTATGAAGAAAAATGCGCCCATGCTGGAGTGCAAAATTCAGAAAATGCTGCAAGAAAAGCAAATGCAGCCCACTTGTTTAGTTTAATTTGACATTGTAAATCCAAGTCAATTTTTGCTTCTTGTTTCTGGAGATCAAACGAGAAGAAAAATTCCAGCAGCCTCTTCCTGGATCAAGTGTGCTCTTTCAAGTTGATGTCAAGTAGGGGTTCAAGATGCTGTTTGTGAGCTGTAGCGGTGAAGAATTTCTCTTGATGAACAGGAAACGTGGACAAAAGCATCAAATCATCTTGCTTGCTCTTTGGATTGGATGCCACCGAACCCAAAATCTTTTAAAGTCTCACCTCATAAAGAAATTGAAGAGGTCGCATTGGTGAAG